AAACAGTTTTGGTTGTGTTTGAAGTTAAAAAATATGAATATTGCTGCGAACCCGTCATTGAAATTTTTGTTTTAAGTCACATTGACTTGAAGAAGTGGGATTTGTGGGATGTGGTACTGCATGTGCTCAACAACCACGACGACAAAGCACCTCGTGACGTCATTGACAAGTCAATCTGGTTCCTTTTCATGCAGTTAAACTGGGATTTGGTCAGACTTGTTCGAGACCAAGAACCAAACAAGACGGTAATATTCACTGTATATCTTCTATCGAAATGTTTTCATTTCAATGTCACGTTACAGGAAGCGGTGAAGAAATTGAAAAAGCGTCGTGATCAATTTTTGCACGATGTCAATATAATTCTTAGTGAAGGTGCCTCTGGAGTTGAACTGGTAAACTGAAGTCTTAACTAAATGATGACCTTGCAAGATATGTGTATGCAAGCAAGCACTGTTTCAGGCGTTCCAGTGTCTAAATGATTCTCTCATTATGTTCAATGAAGAGCTGAAATCACATGGAGCCCACCTTGAACCGCTTATTGTGCGGCTAGACAACGTGGGTTCTGAAATGAAATTGCTTCCAAATATTTAGCGAATGGCTTTGTTCATAATGTTCAATGTTCTTTGTTTATGAGGTGATAAGAGTAGCAGACTTATTTATAGTCAGCGTACTCGCTACAATCTCTCCTAGCTCCTACTAGCTCTAGTTACCGAAAAATACAAAAATTTCTATAAAATTGAATACGCTACGATTTTCCCTCCTAGGACTTCATACAAAAGATGCAGTCGTTTGTGAATGATAATGTCTTTACTCCTCCATCAGAAGATACGCAACTTGATCAACAACAGCAAGTCGAACTCATGCACATGGTAGGTCAGCTTGATATCAATCTCATTGACTCTACCTCTACTTACTTTAACTCATTTCAGAAGCGAAGCTTGCTAGCGCAGTATTGCAAAATGGTTCTTCATGGTGTATTCCCAATTAGAGATGCTTCGTTCGTCCTCAGATACTACTGCGAGGTCCTTATATTCAAAACCTACCACCTTACGTCTTCGTTCCTTATCTCTCCATTTTCAGTTCTACACTGACTTTGGTGACATCCTGAAACAGCTGTTGTACAAGTGCCGCGATCTTAACTTTGTCGCTTGTGCCAAAGCCGTCACCAGGTCCCTCACGGATGTTTATGAAAGCATCAGAGTACGTTTTAGCTTATGATCTCTGAATCCACAGCCGAATAACTATTACGCTGAGTCTCTGCTGTAGATGAACACCGGGCTCGAATTTGTTGATCCACTGTCGGATGCCTTCCATCAATTACGTGATTTGGCGAAGAGATTTGCTGTAGCGTTTGGAAACGATCACATCAAGAATCGCGAAGCCGTGGCTGTGGTACACAGGTTTGCGTTCGAATGATTCCGCTAGTCCATGTTCGAAATCCTTTATGACTTGTTCTCGATTTCTTTGAAAGATGATGTCCAATTTCTTAAAATTTGGCAAACATGTCTTCCATTGAAACATATCTTCTCTTTTCTTAGCGTTCTATTTTTTCGGTCCTGTTTTTCTGGCCGTACCAATCTCCTTACACTTCCGTTCCATTTGAATCGAAAGTAGCCTTTTCAGAGATGGGATCCAATTTGCTCTAATGGGTTTCGATCCGAATCAAAGCCGTCGAGGTAGTGCCAACAAACCAATAAACATCACATTCCTTGAAGTGATCATGGAGTTCAGTCCAAAGCTGATACGTCAGGACAAAGCTGCAGTGTAGGTTCTTTGCAGTAATTTCTAGTCCTTTCCTTCTCATATGTTGTTCCGCTTCGTAATATTACACCATTAGTTGTGAGTTTAATTCCTATGGTTCTGAACCTTCATTTAGTATTACCCCTTCTGTTGACCTGAAAGCATCTTAAATAAACAACAGTGTTCTTATAGAAAATTTCTTGCAAAAATCAATCCTGTTTGCAGCATGCGGTATTTGGAGCGACATGGTCCTCCTATTCTGCCATCGAAAGAGCCTATATGGGAACCGTACCTGTTGTACAGAAATTCTCTCGTGGTGAGTTCCATGAACGTTTTTCTTTCTGAAGATCTTTCGAAATGTCAAAATTATGATAGTTTGAAAAGCTTCTGCCTTTTCAAGTTTCGAGATGCTATTGAGTTTTTGCAGGAGAAGCACCCTGATGACGCATCATCGGTTCGCAGTTTCTCTACTGCATATACAGCAAGAGGAAGGGGACGTGGTCGTGGTCGAGGAAGGTCGACACCCACACCGTCTGAGGTGTGAATAAAGTGAGTTTCAAGCGTCTTCTATTACTATTATTATCTATTAACTATTATTTCGAACGATGCTGAGCTCTTATGTCATCTTTGTTATCCAGTGGTGTGTGGCACCATGGCTATCATTATTCGATATGTGACATACTATATGGTAAATAACTTCTAATTTTTAGGGCTTACAAAATGACTTTTTGTTTCAGAGATAGCGCAGATCCGAGAGAAAGTGTTGATTGCTGTCTATCTGTATTTCTACTGTGTCCTACGGTTTCGACTACCTACTGTAGAAATACTGCTTATTGTCATTTTATGTAAAGAGCAACACTATTGTCATTCCTTAGATAGCTTCCTCATTGTACCATCTTGATCTCTTTTCTTTTGTTGTTGATGGATCTTGAACAGATATTAAGTACTCGCTGCTCTATCCGTTGTCGCACCAGTAATCTCTGTGAGTAATATCGACATAAGGAACACGCCCGTAGAGGCCACAGGAGCCAGCGCGGGCTCAACGCGCGCTTTGAATAATCTCTGTAATTCTCTATACATCTATCTCATGCTGTGACATAGTCATCTTTTTTGTACACGGAG